TGGGGACTACAGGCGCCTGCCACCATGCCCGGCTAGTTTTTTGTATTTTTTAGTAGAGACGGGATTTCACTGTGTTAGCCAGGATGGTCTCGATCTCCTGACCTCATCCGCCCGTCTCAGCCTCCCAAAGTGCTGGGATTACAGGCTTGAGCCACCGCGCCCGGCCGCATTCTCTTCTTTCTTTCTTAATTTTGTAATTTAATTTTTATTGCTTTTAATTTAGAAAATAGAGATGGGATCTCACTATGTTGCCCAGGCTGGTCTTGAACTCTTGACCTCGAGTGATCCGCCCACCTGGGCATCCCAAAGTGCCAAGCCACTGCCCTGGCCTGATTTGTCATTCTTTTTCAGAAACGCTTTCTCTTCTCTTGGCACATGTCCCTTTTAGATTTTGGGTCACTGGTACAGGTGAACTGATTCTGGGGTACACTTTCCTTGATTGGGACATCGATTTGTACAATAAGCCCTTGAAATTCATTGTCTAAACCACATAGCTTGTGCCTAAGGCCTTGAATCTGTGTGTGGCGTGCTGCCAGAACACCCTCAGATACAAGTATCTTCTAGAAGTGCCACTGGCCCACGTGGTGCGGAGGAAAGTTTCCAGGACCAGCTGCTTACAGCACCTGGCTCATTTGTGGTGTGGGTGAGGGTGTCCCTGACGCCAGCTTACCTTCAGTCACTGATCTCTTACCTGTTCAGGAAGCGGCATGGCAGACAGCCGGGTGCAGCAGACCTTGTGTTTCTGCTCCTGCCATCCCCCTGAAGAGTGTGTGGAGCCCGCCCTGACCCACTCATGCCATGTGGCAGCCTCTCTTTTCTTTCTCCTACACGTCTAGTCCCTCCCCAGAACCACCTTTCCTGCTGGGAGATGACAAGCTCCTTCCAGCCTGGGGGGCTCTGATTTGCCATTACAGTTTAGAGGCCTGGCCTGGGTCTGTCCACCCGCTCTTGTGCTCACTCCGTGCTCTGTGTTTATATCTGACTTATGATTTGGTTAGCAGACTTTCTGTCACCTGGAGCGCACTGGCCCTTGGAAAGGGTAGGGTGCCCATTTTATTCCATTCTCCTCTTATTGAGGACCCCCTATGTTTGTAGAGTGGCCTCCCAGCCAGCCAGCAGCACAGTGGACTGCATCCCGCATGGGTGGGCCACATGGCTCCTGTCATTATTGGTAGCTCTCAGTCCACCTTTTGGAGCATTTTCTTTGCACATGGTCTTTAGTATTTTATCCTGTTCAAATAATCCAGCTTTCCTTTTTTTTTTTTGCCCCCAGACAGAGTCTTGCTCTGTTGCCCAGGCTAGAGTGCAGTGGTGCAATATTGGCTCACTGCAACCTCTGCCTCCCGGGTTCAAGCATTCACCTGCCTCAGCCTCCCAGGTAGCTGGGATCACAGGCACCTGCCACCGCACCCGGCTGATTTTTGTATTTTTAGTAGAGACAGGGTTTCACTGTCTTGGCCAGGCTGGTCTCGACGACCTGACCTTGTGATCCACCTGCCTTTTATGTCTGGATCCATGAGCTCTTCTGCAGAAGAGCTTCTCCAGCAAGCCTCGTGGCTGTGAGTTTCCTCTCCAAGTGGGGTTCTCTTCTGTGTCACTGATAAGGTGCCAAGCGTACCCATTCTATTGCCAAAGCCCAGGAAGCAGCGGCCTGTACCACACTTGGGAAAAGGGCCCCATAGCATCAGTAGTAGGCTCAGAAGCCTTCTGTGCCTCTTAGCGTGGTTAGTGTTCCGCATAGAAACGTGAAAACGCGCAGGCCACCGTTCTTACAGCGCTGAGGCCTCAGAAGCTCTGAGAACTGGAACCTTTTCCTCACCTGGTAGCAGACCTGGCCCAAGCTGACGTGAGGCTGCTCATAGCTTCGTGCCTCCCCTGTTGTGGGAGGGGTCCCGAGACTTCTGCCCAGAATTGCTGTGTGCCTCCCAGGCTACTGTTTTAGACCCAGAAATAGAGAGTGTTTCTGAATTCTCAGAAGACACCTGACCCCACAGGTTTCAGATAAGGCATGATAGACCTGTGTTTTCACCCCCATCCTATAGACAAGACGCCCAGGATTCAGGAGGTTATAGTTGGCCTGAGTGGCCGTGCCAGGTTGTGCCCGGGCCCGCTGCTCGGCTTCCTCTGGCACAGCAGCTGCACGCAGTGGCCCCCTTTCCTTTTCTGCCTTTGTACAGAAGCTCCAGTGTGAAATAACTGTTTTCTTGTTGTGTAAGTAATACATGCTCACAGGGTTCTTTTCTTTCTATCTCAGAAAGGAAAAGAAAAGGCTGCACAAAGAAGAAAGCAAAAATCACCGGTGTCATTGCTCCGAGTTAATCCTGTTGAGCACATTACCAGTGAGGTGTTTCCTTTGAAATAGAGGACTCATGCGCACTTGCAGAGTGCTTGCTGCTCATGCTTTCAGCGCGGTGCACGTGGCCTCTCGGTGCAGCATTTTCCTTCAGCCCGCAGCAGCCTGCTCTGGGGCACCTGCCCCGTTGTGTAGAGGGGAATGCAAGCTTTGCAGATCGGGTGACCTGTCCACACTCACAGTCACGACAACCTGGACCTAGGATTTGAATCTGGGCCTTCTCCCCCACTGCATGTAAATTTTATAAAGGCTTTTAAAATTGGAGTAGATGATGCACTCAGCCTGGTGTCCTTTATCCACATGTGTATTTCCCCTGCAGTGAGGAAGCACCAGCAGGAGTGTGCCTATGGAAACCCAACCTCAGATGGGTGCACTGAGGCCTGTGTGCCTCCTTAGTCTCACCCTCAGCATCCACGTCAACTTGGCCTGTCCCAGGTGGTATGTGCTGAGAGCCCCACGGGCACCATCCATTTTTAAGCCAGTTTGCAGCTAGCTGGTCCATTCAGGCCCCCCTTGTCCTCTGCTTCCTACTGTCTGTGGCTCGGGTCACATGAGCAGAAGGCCATCAGCATGAGGGAAACCAGGAGGCCCGGAGTTCCTGCATACCACACACCCAGTGTGACCGTCTCAGATAACTTCAGCTCTGGGTCCCTGTCTTGAGTTTTCTTTGCATGGTACTTATAACTTGCTTTAATTATCCATTGTTTAGTGATTTCTTTCTTTATTTTGGGAGGTTGAGTATTTTGTTATTTACACATGTAGAGTAAGAATAAAAATTGAGCACGGAGGCCAGATGTGGTGGCTCACACCTTTAATCCCAGCACTTTGGGAGGCCAAGGTGGGCAGATCACCTGAGGTCAGGAGTTCAACACCAGCCTGGCCAACGTGGCAAAACCCCGTCTCTACTAAAAATAACAAAAATAGCCAGGCGTGATATCGGGCACCTGTAATCCCAGCTACTCAGGAGGCTGAGGCAGGAGAATCGCTTGAACCTGGGAGGTGGAGGTTGCAGTGAGCCAAGATCGTGCCACTGCACTGCACTCCAGGCTGGGCGACAGAGCAGGACTCTTGTCTCCAAAAAAAAAAAAAGGCATGGTAATCATCCATTATTTAAAAGACCATTGTGTTAATGGTGGTTACTTGAAAATTCACAATATTATATTGCTGAGTGATTGATGGATTATTTTTGTTTGTTTGTTTAACTAAAAGAGGGGCCATAAGCCCAGCACACCAGTATGTACAGCCCCTGGTCCTTGCAGATGTAGAGGCTGGATGACTGGGGTCAGTGTGTAGACGCTAGTCTGTGTTCCTTGGGTTGAAATGATGTCTTGCATCTTCACTATGCAACTGTAGTCTGTTTCCTGATCACTTGTAGTAGCTACAGGGTCCTTCCTCCAATCTTAAGGTGGTTACATTGTTCTCCTTTTTTGCTTCTGTGAATGTTAATGGTTACATCTTTGCAGAAACAGTGCTCCCTCTGGTCTAGTTTGTTTGCTATTCATCCTGATGCAGAAAAGCCCTTCTCACCACCTCCACTCCTGCACACTCACTTCCAAGTGAGGCAGGCAGATTGGAATGGATTTGAACTTTCCAAATGAGTTTTGTTTTTCTCATGGAAACAAAGAATGTGTTCTCAACTTAGATTTGATCTTACGTAGAATACCACGTTAAGATTTTAGGGTAGTGCTCATTACTGTAAGAATAGTAGTAAAAAGAAGACACAGGCCGGGCTCAGTGGCTCAAGCCTGTAATCCCAGCACTTTGGGAGGCCGAGGCGGGTGGATCACGAGGTCAAGAGATCGAGACCATCCTGGCTAACACGGTGAAACCCCGTCTCTACTAAAAAATACGAAAAACTAGCCGGGCGAGGTGGCGGGCGCCTGTAGTCCCAGCTACTCGGGAGGCTGAGGCAGGAGAATGGTGTGAACCTGGGAGGCGGAGCTTGCAGTGAGCCGAGATCCGGCCGCTGCACTCCAGCCTGGGCAGCAGAGTGAGACTCCGTCTCAAAAAAAAAGAAAAGAAGACACAAACTAAAAGACCACAGAAGAGAGGCATGCTGTCACTTGGCATAAATTAAACATGCCTTCTCTGATCATTTCTTTTTTTTTAATTGGTTATATTTGATTATTTCTTTAAAAAGTGATTCTGCTGGATCACTTAAGGGATATAACCCTCAGGAATCTGTTCTTTTCCTTATAAAATACTTTTTAATAACCAAGTATCTTTGAGCCAAAAAATGTTACAAATATTTCAGCTGTAAAAATTTGGGTTATCATAAATCCAGGGCTTGGTTTCAGCATTTTTTCATTCAACAGATAATTATGGACTGTTTATTGTGAGCCAGATGCTGCCTGGACCCAGCAACTTGGTTGTGGGCCTGCCCTGTCAGACGTGGGCCTGCTCTGGTGGGGCACAGGGTTCGGCCAGGCGAGTGGTGGTGTCGTTAACAAAAGGATGCTCAGGTGTGGCTGCAACACCTGCAGGGCCTGGGGCTGCGAGGACCTGTCGTGGGGGGAACTCAGGGAAGACCACCCCAAGGAAGGGGGCTCAAGCTTCCGTCTGAAAGTGAGTTAAATAATCAGGAAGAGGAGAGGGAAGAATACAGTCAGACCTGGAATTGGGAAAGGGCGCTTCGCACTGTGAAGCGAGACCGGAGGAGTTGAGGAGGGAATGAGAGAAGCCCGTTAGAAAGTAGTTTTTACCAGGCTGAGTGTGATGGGCAGGGGTGCAGAGTGCAGGAGACGGGGAGGGGATCAAGGGGGGCCGCATGGGACCAGGGAGATTGGTTACGCTAGGGCTGACTGAAAGAGGCCCGGGTCGGGGTGATGAGTACTTCCATCCTGAATGGTCCTGTGTCAGGGATGTCAGGTGGGCAGCTGGTGCCCACGTGGGCTGGGGTGGTGTCAGGAGGGGTCTCAGCTGCACGTCCGTGGGAACAGGCCCTGGGACAGTAGGTGGCTTGGGGAGAGCACCAAGCAAGGGTCAGGTTTGGCTGTGCATCCGAGTCCCTGCGGGTGAGGCCCAGCTTAGAGCTCCTGGGTTGTTCTAAGACTTGACAGCCAGGGTGAGGAGCTGGCTGAGGATGAGCCTCCAGGCGGGCCACTCTTGGCTGCTGGCATCACTGCCCCGAGGCACCCAACTCCTCCCCTCCCCAAGAATTGTAAGAGGAAGTTTGTGTTTAAGGGACATAAAATATTTTGTTCTCCAAATTTTATTTAAATATTAACAGTTTTAAAACCCTGAGGTGTTACTATTTCCTGCCCAGAGTTGATAGTTAAGAGAAACGTCATGAGAGCTGCTCTGTAGAGTGCCCGTGTGCTGCATGGCGTTCCTCCTTGGTGTTGCGGCGGGACGCTTGGAGCTGCCGGGCGCGCTCTGATCTTCCCTGCTGTGCAGATCTGGGACCTAAGGTTTGGAAAATTGACGTGAATTCAATTCCTGTCACAATATCCAGGTCCCACACCAGGCTTCCTGCCCCTTCTGGTTTGGAGAAAGCAGTGCTGATTGATAGATGCCTCCCCCACGTTCAGATGGTGTTCTCTGTTTCAGGATGATGACCTGGAAGAAGGTGAAGTGAAGGACCCCAGTGACAGGAAGGTGAGACCTCGTCCCACCTGCCGGTTCTTCATGAAAGGTAACTGTCTGCGTGTGGGGCCTTCTCGCAGTCAGCTGGGGCCCCAGCTTCTGGGGCTGTGGTGCTGGCTCACCTTGGCAGGCCCTGCGCTGCTCAAGGCAGTTCTCTGGGCAAGACTGGCTAGGTAGTGGTAGTGGTGGCAGTGGCAATATTGATGGTAAACCATAGGCCCTTGTATTGGTGCTTTCATCACTTTAATGACTGCCTTGGTGGGAGCAGCCTGGTCATTCTCATTCTCACACTGGTGGCCCCAGACCCCTCCGATCGCAGCAGACCCATAACTACAATGCAGGTGGCATCAGTCATTTTTCAAAGTGGTCCTTTTCATAAGGCCGAATGTTCTAGACACCAGAATTAGCATTTTCCCCACCTCTGTAGAGGTGGCCCCTTTTCCTGTAAGATGTGTCCGAAGCGTTTGTTGGTGTGGAATGGATTTCGAAATGGCCAGAGATGGCCGCTGAAGGCAGCAGGGCTCTCTCCTGTAGAAGTAATGGTGTGAGTTCAGGAGCTGCAGCAGGGGGCGGTGTAAGAAAGTCTTGTCAGAAAAATCTGGGCTAACGCATTTTAAAATGTGGCGGAACTCTTTAGCCTGATGATGTTAGGGCTTTTTGTTTCGCTGCTTAATGTCTTGGGGGATTCGGAAATGGAAATGAGAATTTCCAGCTTGTAAGGGTATCTTTGATGTGCAGCAGTAGTTTTGGTGTATTTCTTGTAATTGAGCGTTCCCCTTGGAGAGGTGGGAAGATGTTTTTCTCTCTCTCAATTTTGCTGTAAGCCCATAGATGACTTTGTCACTGCCAGCCTGTGTGTGCCGTCTAAAGCTCACAAGAGCTTCCTGTACTTCTTTTCCAGATGTTGTGACACCATTATCCACTCTTCTTCCACCAATATCCAATTCCATACCATTCAGAGGCCAGGTTAAAGGTACAAAATACGCTATATTCACTCTCTTCAGTACCTTAAAGTCCCCCTACTCCAGAGGCCAGACTTCCTTCTCCTGGATCCAGAACACAGCTGTGAAGCCAGAAGGAAAGGGGGTCTTTGAGGGGCAGAGAGCTGTTCGCAACCTCCTTAGAGGCACGTGAGCCAATCGAGCATCGGGGACAGACAGGACACACCCTTGAGGTGTGGCAGAGTCCCATCATTCAGAGGCAGGCTGTGCTCTTAGAGCAGCCGAGAACGCCCCTGTGCAAGAGATGACCTGATGATGTGGGGCTCATGGGAACCCCGGGTCAGGCTCGCTCCTATGGGTGTGTGCTTGCTTGGTTTTGCCAAGCAAAAACAGTTGACTCGCCCAAGTCACACGTGCATGTGAGGGGCCCCCACTGGGGAGAGCCTGTGTGGGCAGTAGACTTAGAGCCGTAGATTGTCACAGACACTGCTAAGAATGCAGAGAAATGTGCAGTAGATTTTGGAAGGTAAACTTACAATTTTTTAAAAGCTTTGGTATTTGCAGTGTCGGTATTTCAGAAAATTTAAATTTAAGCAGACCTCTTTTTTATAATAGTGTGGGAATTAATGACATCAGTGTCGCAAATTTCTGTATGAAAGTGATGGAGAAAAATCTGTACACATGTATGTGTACACATTTGCAGTCATTTTGAATCAGCAGCCATCACAGTGCAGTGCTCTGGTCTCTGGGTGGCAGTGTGACTCAGAAGCTTGGCCAGCCAGTCGGCATTGGCCTTAGGTTCTGACAGCAGGAGGCTGCAGCATCAACCAGGGCAGGGAGACTCTGGACCAGGAGCTCGGGGCTCACTGCTGAGCTAGTTCCAGAATTTAACAACAGAAGCACAAAACAGATGAAGAAAGATCGTTACTGGAACTCTTCATTCCCTTCACTGAGAGATGCCTGGATGAACACAGACAGGATCCTGTCTCCCTGCACATCACGTGGGTTGGTCAGAATTGGAAGGTGGTGCCCCCAAAGTTAGACTAAGTACTGAGTTTGGGTTTCAGTGAGTGAGACCATGTGGAAGGTTTCTACAGTCAAGAAATCAGTTTGAGACCAGCCTGGGCAACATAGTGAGACCTTGTCTCTACAAAAAATGAAAAATTAACAGGGCCTGGTGGCACGCACGTGTAGTCCCAGCTACATGGGGAGTAGGGGGTGGGTGCTGAGGGGGGCAGATCACTTGAGCCTGGGAGGTTGAGGCTGCAGTTGCGCCATGATCGTGCCACTGTTCTCCAGGCTGGGCAACAGTGAGACTGTCTCTTAAAAAAAAAAAAAGAAAGCAGAAGCTAGATAAGGCAGCATTTTTGCGGCTTAATCAGGCATTATCAATAACTCATTTCAGAAGTATTTTTATTCTGTAGAGCGAGGTAATACGATACAGAGGAAGTGGCTGATTCTTATCGTTTTCTAGATCATGTCTCCTGCTGCTTCTTTGTTGTGAGAAATTTGGACTTAAATGTTTCTGCCTACCTGCAGTTTTTATGAAATTGAAATTCATCAGTTTATGATCCCTCCAATAACAACAAGTTAAAAACAAAATGGAGTTTGTTGTGTTGGCAAGGATATGGAGATGTTGGAGCCCTCATTCACTGCTGGTGAGAGGGTAAAACGATGCAGCTGCTTCAGAAGATAGTTCCTCAGAAGCTGCTGGCTACTCACTGTATGACCCAGCAGTTCAACTCCAGGTATGCATCCAAGAGAAACGGACACGTGCATTTATGTGAAAGCTTGTGCGCGAATGTTCACAGCAGCATGACATGCAGTAACCAAAGAGAAGAAACAACCCAGGTACCCGACAACTGAGGAATGGATGAACAAGTGTGGCCTGTCCATGCACTGGAATGCTGCTTGGCCATAAAGGGAATAAAGCACTGGCTCACGCCACAATGTGGACAAACTTTGAAGACGTGCTGAGTGACAAAAGGGAGCACAGAAGGCCACAGGTCCACAGAGACAGAAAGCAGATTGTGACTCACGCCACAATGTGGACAAGCTTTGAAGACACATGCTGAGTGACAGAAGGGAGCATAGAAGCCAACAAATCCACAGAGACAGAAAGCAGATTGATTCATCATTGCCTGGGCTAGGTGTGGAGAGTAATAGCTAGTGAGTACAGAATTTCCTCTTTAGGGTGATGGAATGTTCTAGAACTAGCTAGTGGTGATACTTACACAACTTTGTGAATATACTGCAAACCAGTGAATCGTACACGTTAAATAGGAGTATTTTATGTTACGTGAATTGTATCAAAATTAGAAAATTATTTTCTTAGAAAAAAGTTGGTGGCTGGGTGTGGTAGCTCGTACCTGTAATCCTAGCACTTTGGGAAGCTGAGTTGGGAAGATCACTTGAGCCCAGGAGTTCGAGACCAGCCTGGGCAACATAACAAGAGCCCATCTTTCTTTTTTAAATTACTTGTAGAGACGGGGTCTCAGTACATTGCTCAGGCTGATCTCAAATACTAGGCTCAAGCAGTCCTTCCACCTCAGCCTCCCAAGGTATGGGGATGACAGGCAGGAGCCACTACCCCGGCCTCTCCTAGCTTTATCTCTGTGACACGTTGTGATATAATTGCTTAGTGGACACGTTGAGATTTGTGACCAATTGACAACAGAATGCACTGGGAACACAACTCGCTCACATTTTAGAGATCCGGGCTTTGTTTGCGCCTGCCCAGCTCCACGGCACGTACACAACAACTGGAGCTGTAATTCTTCGTGGGCTGTTTTTACCTCTCATGGGCCTGCGTTGGATCATTGGACACAAAATTGTGTCCACAGGGGAGTAAGTAGCACCTTCTTCAAACTGTGTCCCACTTTGGGTTTCTTTCTTTTTTTTTTTTTTTTTTTGAGACGGAGTCTCACTCTGTCACCCAGGCTGGGTGGAGTGCAATGGTGGGATCTCGGCTGATTGGAACCTCCAACTCCAGGGTTCAGACGATTCTCTCGTCTCAGCCTCCCAAATAACTGCGATTACAGGCATCTGCCACCACCCCCAACCAATTTTTGTATATTTAGCAGACATGGGGTTTCATCATGTTGGCCAGGCTAGTCTTGAACTTCAACCCTGACCTCAGGTGATCCCCTCGCCTCAGCCTCTGAAAGTGCTGGGATTGCAGGTGTGAGCCACCACACCCGGCCCCTACTTTGGGTTTCTGATTTATCCCTCAGTGAACAAGCATCCCAGTCCATTTTTTGGGTCTGATCTCCTTGGCTCTGCTCCCCCCAGTTTTTTTAAATTGTGGTGGAATACCTTTTTTCGGTTTTTTTTTTTTTTTTGAGACAGAATCTCGCTCTGTCGCCCAGGCTGGAGTGCAGTGGCGCCATCTCGGCTCACTGCAGCCTCCACCTCCAGGGTTCAAGTGATTCTCCTGTCTCAGCCTCCTGAGTAATTGGGACTACAGGCACCTGCCACCACGCCCAGCTAATTTTTTTGTAGTTTTGGTAGAGATGGGGTTTCACCGTGTTAGCCAGGATGGTCTCAATCTCCTGACCTTGTGATCCACCTGTCTCAGCCTCCCAAAGTGCTGGGATTACAGGCGTCAGCCACCACACCTGGCTGGAATACCATTTTTTAAGTGTACGGTTCAGTGTTAATACATTCATGTTGCTGTGTCATAACCGTCACCACCATCCATCTCCAGGACTTTTTCAGCTTACAGAACTCAAACTCTGTACCTGTGAAACGACTTCTCATTCCTCCCACCAGCCTCCTAGCGCCTGCGGTGGTGGTGTCTCTGAATGCTGACTGTTCTAAGTCCACGTACAAGTGGAATCATACAGTATTTGTCCTTTTGTGACTGGTTTATTTTACTTAGCATAATGTCCTCAAGGGTCATCGGTCATCAGGATTTTTTTTTTTTTTTTTGGACAGGATCTCACTGTCACCCAGGCTGGAGTACAGTGACATGATCATGGCTTACTGCAGCCTTGACTTCCTGGGCTCAAGCCGTCCTCCTGTCTCAGCTTTCCACGTGACTGGGACTACAGGCATGCCACTTTGCCCAGCTAACTTTATTATTTGTAGAGACAGGGTCCCACTGTGT